CAACTTTTACAACCGGGTTTTATCCCTGCACTAATTGTGTGCCGCCTATGAGTTTGGTCCGCGGCTTATATAGTCTCGAGCTTGTGAACCCGATTTTTTAAGTCGCAGCCCAAATACCAGTTATTTCCGGATTCTGGGCTCGGACTACAATAGTCCCGAGCTCGTGACCCCATAATGTTTGAAAGGTTATGCTTATTTAGAAAATATATAGTTTATTGTGTATAAAAAAATATTTTTACTTTTTGAAGCAACAAAATATAAAAAAGAGCACATTTTTGGATGGAATGCGAGCAGTCCGGATTGTAGGAACTGTTTATGACGATTAAATCAAGGTATATGCAATCATAAAATGCTATGGGAAGGGAGGAAAACGGGTCCGCGACGTAAGAAGTGATGAAGGAAGTAGTCAAGGCGAGCTGTCCGGAGTGTGGGAACTGTTTATGACGATTAGATTACCGTAAGGTATCTGCAATTATAAAATGCTGTGGGAAGGGAGGAAAACAGGTCCATGATGTTGGAAGTGATGAAGGAAGTAGTCAAGGCAAGCTGTCCGGAGTGTGGGAACTGTTTATGACAATTAGATCAAGGTATCTGCAATCCTAATATGCTATGGGAAGGGAGGTAAACAGGTCCGTGACGTAGGAAGTGGTGAAGGAAGTAGTAAATGCGAGCAGTCCGGAGTGTGGGAACTGTTTATGACGATTAGATTATGGGATCTGCAATCCTAAAATGCTATGGGAAGGGAGAGAAAAGGTCCGAGACGTATGAAGTGGTGAAGGAAGTAGTCAAGGTGAACTGTCCAGAGAGTGGGATCTGTTTATGACGATTAGATTAAGGTATCTACAATCTTAAAATTCTATGGGAAGAGAGGGAAACATGTCCGTGACGTAAGAAGAGGTGAAGGAAGTAGTAAGGTGAGCAGTGTGGAGTGTGGGAACTGGAAACCGTTTGTAGCGGTTAGATTAATGTATCTGCAATGCTGAAATGCTATGAGAAGGGATGGAAGCATCCCCACGACATAGAAAATGGTGAAAGAAGTAGTAAAGGCTAGCAGTGCGGAGTGTGGGGAATGTTTGTGGCAATTATATTAATGTATCTAAAATACTAAATTGCTATGGAAAGTGATGAAAACAGGCCACGATGTAGGAAATGGCTTAGAAAGTAGTAAAGTATGAGCATAGTGTGAAAACCGTCTATGGCAGTTAGATTGATGTATCTTTAATCCAAAAATGCTATGAGAAGGGAAGGAAACAAGTCTATGACGTAGGAAATGGTGAAGGAAGTAGTAAGGCTTGCACTGCAGAGTGTGGGAACTGTCTTTGGCAATTACATTAATGTATCTGCAATCCTAAAATGCTATGGGAAGAGAGGGAAATAGGTCCACGACGTAGGGGGTGGTGAAGGAAGTGGTAAAGGTGAGCGTGTTGAGTGTGGGAATGAATTAATGTCTGCAATGCTAAAACACTATGGGAAGAGACTGTAGACTGTAGGTTAAAATAATTACGAAGCACGAATCGATACATATTTCGATACATGCAATCGTTTATAATAGTAATTTACAACTGAGTTGACAACAGCTGATTTTTACTCCATAGAGGATAAAAACTATTTTTACTTCCTAAAGAGTAAAAATGCTACTTTAGACGCGCAACGCATGCATTAAAAACGACTGGTATTACTGCAGTATGACCAAAACAATATAATACTCGCATAAACCCTTGATGACTCCGCTCAATTTTGTGGATGCCTCTGCGAACGCCACCTAGTTTAATTTCATTTACGGTTACACAAGACGGTTTTCTGCTGTCTCCGTAACCGTGTAGTGTGAAATCTCTAATGCTCTTACTTACACTACTAAATAAATCCTAATACCATCACCGCAGCAAACCTGCAGACTAACTGAATTTCCATTTATCTGACTGGATATCTACTAAAATATTCCCTAACAGTTGTCAAATTTATTTCCTATTTAATTAACATTAGTTTTAGTGAGTACTTAGGTTTGCTGCTACAGGGAAGATATTGAGACGTGTTTTTTTTTTATTGCAATGTTGATAGCTTATTATTAAATAAATAACATTTCCAAATTTGGTTTAAATATATTCATAAACAAGCAAACTACAACAGTTTATTTATTCTCCATAAGAACAACGTGGGAATTTTAAACTTACAATTTTCTTAATTATCTCCGTAACCGTTGGGAGCTTCAATAAACAAAATTATTTATTTTTTTAAGCTCTACAAAATGGTTTGGAGAGAAACTATGAAGATTTGTGTTATTAGGGTCAAAAATGGGAAAAATCTATTTTTACCCCATAAAACCCCCCTAAACCCCCGTTCCCATAGTCCGATTATGCTGGTTCGCGAACTCGTTTGAATAAATATAGGTTTACACGTTTGTACCAAATTTCATCAAAATCGGATTATTTTTGCTCAAGTTATCATGCTAACGGACACATATATATATATATATAATTTTTTTTTTTTTTTTTTATAGTTCTGTTCACTTTTTAGGGCTACTTTTTTAATTAATAAGCAAAATAATAAAAACCAGAGTACCCTGAAATTCATTTTTTACTTAACCCTAGAACGGCCACAAAGAGTGTTTCTGTAGGGCCAGGCAGTTTTGGCCTTCCGTGCAGCGTTTTACTCTCACAGTTGTAAAACCCTTATTTATTTACCAAAACATATAATATTTTATACCATTAGATTTGGGACATTCTAGAGAATATAAATTTATCAATCAAATACAAAAACCTAGTTCATAAAAATAAATTTTTTTAACAAAAAAAATCCTAAATTTGCAAAAACAAAATTTCAAAAGTATGGACGCACAAAAAATCAAATATCTTTTCTTTTCAAAAATTAAAGATATACAAATTGTTTTACTTCGATTTCCCTACATAAATATATCAAAACATTTGAAACTACTATAAAACATTTTGAGTTATGTTCAAAAGTGTAAAACTCTGCACTTTTTCTGAATTTTACATACTTATATACTTTTTAGGCCTACTTTTAGAAATAGATCAAAAACATGAAAACAACACATATTTTCTGTTAGGGAAACAAGAAACAAAAAAATATATGATTTTACATGCAATAGGTAAAAAATAAATATATTATTTCACTTGGAAAAAAGAAATTTGTTTTTACTTACGGAAAATCACAAAAAGACTTTGAACTTTAAATGTAAGTAAAAAAATAAATCTTTAGATTATACAAATTTCAAGATATACATAATGTTTTAAATGTTATGCTTATTTAGAAAATATATAGTTTATTGGGTATAAAAAATATTTTTACTTTTTGAAGCAACAAAATATAAAAAAAAGAGCACATTTTTGGATCCAGCACTAAGTTTTGCTCTAAATTGTCTACAAATTACTCTTCCTTTCTTGATTATAATGGATAATTGTTGCTGTTTACCATAACAAATAAGATCTATTTAGCAAAATAATAAAATTTGTATACTAGGTAACCATAGAATCAAAAATAAATGTTTAGTTTATAAACCAACAGCTGCACGCACCCAAATAATGAAAACATCTGACCGCGGCGCAACAGGTTTTTGGACATTGCATCAGTTTGACCAAAAAGAAAAACAAAAATATCACAGAAGGAAACTTTTGAATATTCCAGATTTTTTATATTTAAATTATATTCAAGCATCCAAATTCAAAATTAGCTATAGATCTAGAAACAACGCATTCAATTTAATTAATAAACTATCAAACATTAACCCACATACAATTGACAAATATAACAAATCTGGAATATACAAAATTAAATGTCTATATTGTCCCAAATTCTACATTGGTCAGACTGGAAGAGCATTTTCATGCAGATTCAAAGAATACATCCAAAGCGGTAAAATCAAACAATCAAACATCTCAACGATCAATGTATGCAGAACATATATTAGAAAATAATCATAATTATGGCAAATTAGAAGAGTGTGTCAAAATTATAAATTTTGAGAAAAAGGGAGAAAAAATTGATATAAAAGAAGAATTACAAATATACCTACATTCAAAAGAACACGGAGACCAAATTCTCAATATAATGCAAAAACAAAAACAAAATCCAATTCATGACAAAATCAGACAAATCAGTGAAGAATCTTACACATCTACATGTTAAAAAATACACCTAACCATTTAATCAAAATTTTACTATGAATTCAAAACATATGTTATTAACTATTTATTTATTTTAATTGTTTACATACTTTCATAACACTCATACTGTGACGTATCAGTTTAAGTAAAAAATGAATTTCAGGGTACTCTGGTTTTTATTATTTTGCTTATATATATATAAATATATATTTATGAATTTGAACGGATGGTGTTTTTGGCCTCTGGGAACCTTAAAACTAAAAAGTAAATCGGTCCCGAGTCTAGGTCTTACCGTGAGACCTGAGGTAATAGCTTATTCCCTATAAGGAAAATTTGCTAAAACTTAAGAAACGAACATTTAGATTTAACTAGAGGTCCTCCAGTGGTCGAAAACTCGTCCAAAAGTATGTAATGTACAGACTTCTCCATTTTAACCCCACGCTGTAAATAAAACATATAATTGGAATATCTTCAATTTTTTTTCTGTTTATTTTTCTTTGTTATTTTGGCACTATCATGGCAACCCATAAGGCCCGTATTCATTTTTTGAAATTTGAAATAAATTTTTTGGTTCTTATTTTTGAGCCTATTTAACTTTATAAAGGGAATCTGCACATCTACAGGAAAATATCTTTCTAACAGTATGCATAGATTTTCCCTATGATGCACACAAACTGAGAAAAAAGGTTTTAAAGAAACATGCTTGCCTATTTATTATTAATCTTAAGAAACAAACATTTAAATTTAATACTGATAGGCCTACCACACGACGAGAACAGTCCCGGCAAAGATTGTAGACTGAAGTGTCAGAGTAAATTAGTACCATCATATTAGTCATTATAGTAATCCAGGGGACCTCAACACTAGAGATGAAATTACCGAGTACTGGCTTGTTGCCATCCTGTAGCACCACAAGTGGTGAGCCGATTGTGATGTCCCAATGTATGATGTGCCCTGTCATGTCCGAGGAGACCAACTCTACAGAGGCAGAGTCATCAGGCTTGCTTCTTACCTTTGGACTCCACACCACCTAACAAAAGTACAAAGGACTTCAGTGTACCAATGACACGTTTGGCCACCAACATCAGCATCTGCAAGATGGAAGGTGAGTCCTCCATTATGGTTACTGTTAAGATGTTAAACAAAGCATAGCGGTAAGTGAAAAGGGGTTCATGTCAAAAAAGTTAGAAAGGTTGCTAGATAACTGTATTTTTGGTGTGGTAACAATTATTTGTAGGTTTGATCTTCATAAAAACTAAGACAACCCCTTACTGGCTTTAATACAGTAGAACTCCAATTATCCGAACTCATACTATCCTAATCGCTGATTGTAGTATTGCTTACAGAAATAATTTTAAAATGTAAAACCACAGTAATAAGAATTGTTATTAAAGAAGGCAGAAGCCGTAATCGCCAGGGCTACAGAAAGGGCTGGCTCACTCCTTTGATGTTAGCGGCCGCCGCCTGATCCTACTTCAATCCCCCGCCCCTCCAGAGCAGTGACGTAGCGCAGATACATCGGCGCGTGGCGCGACGGTAGCCTAGTACAGCAGTCCATATGTCGCCCGGCATCTAGGCGGATATTAATAATTGTGTTTATAATAATGTAATTTTATAGTGTGATTTTTAAAGCGGGTTTCGTTAACCCTCCAACTTGCAATGGGCGAACTCTGTAGTGGCAAGGCGTTTTTGGCGATTTTGCAGTCATATTTTCAAAAATTCATATAAACAAACCAACAGACCAAAGCTATTGAACCGTATACTTGAAGTGTTCGTAATGAAATGAAGAATTTGAAAATAAATATTTAGAATATTATATAAAATATTGGCAGTAAGTAAAAAAATTGCTGCATGAACCAAAAATGTTTCATGTAAACTTCAATATATAGAAATTGTTTGGAATTTATTTCCCTAGATAGAAATGTAAAATGATTCCAATTACCATTTATTTTTACAAAGTTATGGCCCATAAACAATAAAATGACAAGTTTCAGCATTTTACACTACAAATTTCAAACAAAAACCAAATAAAGGTATTATCAAGAGATAATGTAAAAGTACACATTTTTGTAAAGGCAATATTATTGGAGATCAAATGAAGTAAGAGTTGTTTATGTAAAATGGTCATTTCAATAAATATTTATGACTTTTGATAAATGTTTATATTTGTCTAGAAAACCATTTTGTTATTCACAAATGTATATTAATTTTCAAACATATAAACCCCACATACCAACTATATAAAATTAACTTATTCCTCTACATGAATATATTATAGTTATAAAGGCAAATATACATAAATAAATATTTTATAGTTTTTTTTTCTCTATAAAATGCTGCTGTGCCATTTTTATTTGGCGATCAAATCGTTTGTTCATTATGACAAAATGTTTCAAAAACGGGCTAAATGTAATGTCCCAGACCTCAAATTTAGTAAGTATATCCACATAAAACAGTTTACAAACTAAATATGTACAAATTTACAACTAATAAATATGATTCAAAGTGATAAAATCACACCCGCGATATTCTTTGTTGGTACAGTAGACTTCCTCTTATCCGGACTCCTCGGGACCGAGGCCAGTCCGGATAACAGGTTTTCCGGTCAAACCGACGTCCCCAAAAACTCGTTAGAACGGACCGTTTACTGTGATATTCGACTTAAATTTAGGAGAGCATTGTATTTAGACACGTGATCACTGGTCTCAAATCTTTTCCACGAGAACAGTCATTTCAGTACCGCCCACTTCCTGCCAATCTAGTCAGGTTAAATTAATATGCTGATAAAAATTGTCATGACGGACAACTTATCAAAGCTACTCAACCATTCGAAAGACTGAATATAGATTTTAAAGGGCCACTTCCATCCAAAAGTAAAAATCGTTATCTTTTAATAGTCGTAGATGAATACTCTCGATTTCCATTTGCATTCCCTACTCAAGACACAACTGCTAGGACTGTTATTCTGAGACTTAAGGAACTTTTCTCAATGTTTGAAGTACCGGCTTATATTCATTCTGACAGAGGTTCATGTTTTATGTCTCAAGAACTAAAATCATTTTTATGTTCACTAGGAGTTGCTACCAGTCGTACAACAGCTTACAATCCTCAGGGCAACGGACAAGCTGAGAGGTATGTTGGTATTATATGGAAGACAATCAAACTATCACTTAAGAGTAAAAATCTGGACATATCTGATTGGGAAAAAGTACATTTAGAAGCTTTGCACTCTATCCGGTCATTATTGTGTACTTCAACAAATACAACACTGCATGAAAGACGCTAGTAATGGTAAGACAACTCCATCTTGGCTCATGAATCCAGGTCAAGTGCTCATGAAACGGCCTGTCAGGAGCTCAAAATACGAACCACTCGTTGAAGAAGTACTGCTCCTTGAGGGGAATCCTGAGTATTCTCACATAAGATATGCAGATGGCCGTGAAATACAGTGAGCTCCAGGCAATTAGCACCTGTAGGAGAAGTGTCACATCATGAAGAAGACTCAAACTCCAATCTACGACTTGAAGGAGACTCAAATTCCAATCTACGACATAAAGCAGACTCAAACTCTAATCTACAAATAAATGAAAGAAGTTCTCAAGTTGATGTTGGACCTGAGCCTATCTTCTAAGACGAGGAAACACTGAATCAGGGCCAGATTGCTCTTAGAAGAAGCTCCAGAAGTAAACACCCGCAAATTGGTATTTCAATGAGAGAGCTAGCCCAGATAAAAATTATGATGGTTTTCTCGTGACTTTCATAAACTCATTTAATGAGGCTTTTCCAAAAACATCTCAATTGAGAGGGACTAAAGACAAAATAAATAAGAATTGAATTACAAAAGGGATAAAAACTTCCGCAGAAAGAAAATACCCCCGCTGCAGCAAACCTGCAGACTAAGCAAATTTCCATTTCCCTGAATGGATTTACACTAAAATGTCTCCTTAAAAATATCACATTTATTCCCTATTTAAATAGAATCAGTTTTACACATACTTAGGTTTGCTGCAACAGGGAGGGTAAAAGTGTTTTTATGTAAAATGTTAATAGTTAGTAAGAAATAAAAACATTTTCCAAATTTGGGCAAATTATGTCTATAAACAAGCAAACTACAACAGTTTACTTATTCTCCATAAGAATAACATGGGAATTTTAAATTTACAATTTTTTTGAATTTTCTCCGTAACCATTAGGCGCATTATAACGCTTCAATGTACTAAATAATTTGTTTTTTTAAGCCCTACAAAATAGTTTAGAAAGAAATTACAAAATTTTATGTTTTTTTGGGTCAAAAATGGGAAAAACCCAATTTTACCCCATAAAAGCCCCCATTAACCCCCGTTCCCATGGTCCGATCATGCTGGTTCGCGAACTCGTTCGAATAAACGTAGGTTTACACGTTTGTACCAAATTTCATCAAAATCGGATCATTTTTGCTCGAGTTATCGCGCTAACGGACATATATATATATATATATATATATATTAAAACATATGCATATATATAAAAATGCAAGAAAATAATATATATATATATATATATATGAATTTGAACGGATGGTGTTTTTGGCCTCTAGGGACCTCAAAACAAAAAAATCGGTCCCAGGTCCAGGTCTTACCGTGAGTACTACGGTAATAGCTTATTCCCTATATGGGAAATTCGCTAAAAAAATCTTCACCAGGAAAAAACTTATAAGAAAGTGTTCGAAAAGTTTTTGCATTAGCAGATGATTTCATTAAAAAATCTAAAAATAAATCTAAAGCATCACGGGCTGTTGTAAAAAAAGAACTTGGATTAAAAAAACAATTGTCAGAAACACCTATTGAAGTTACAAACAGTGAAAATGCCAAAATGAGTAATATTGTATTAATTGCAAACAATTTTAATAATTTTTTTGTAAATGCCTCATATTCCTCAAATCAATATTCAAATAAAACCAAAGCCATTAACTTATTTGAGAAAAATAGTAAACACATTTCTTAACTTAATAATGCAAGATTTAACTTTAGGACAGTCTGTGCTGCAGAAGTTAAGAAAGTTTTGAATACCATAAGTAACACAAGGTTATCAGGGTGGGATCAAATCCCTCTTTTTGTGATAAAAAGTGTTTTTTATGTCTTTGAGGACTTATTCTGCAGAATAGTAAACCAGTCCCTGGAGAAAGGTGTATTTCCAGACAAACTCAAATATGCAGAAGTAAAACCTTTATTTAAGAAAGGTGATGTTAATAATCGCTCTAATTATCGTCCTGTTGCGTTGCTACCTTGCTTTTCAAAATTTTTTGAAAAAATTGTCAAAAACCAACTAGTACAGTATTTGGAAAACAATTATCTAATCAACCCGTCTCAATTTGGATTCCGGCCAAACCTTAACCCTCAAAAAGCAGTAACCGACATGATCAACCATATTGCTGGTGCCTTGGATGGAGCACAGCAGACTGTGGGAGTGTTGTGTGACTTGTCCAAGGCCTTTGACTGTGTTGATCATGGAATACTTCTTGAAAAATTAAGTAGACATGGAATAACAAATATAGCATTACAATGGTTTGCTTCTTATCTGAAAAACCGTAAACAAAGGATAATAATAAACAAATTTCAAAATATTACAGGTCAGATTGGGAGGATGTTCCATTTGGAGTGCCTCAAGGATCAATTCTTGGACCATATCTATTCATTTTATTTGTAAACGACCTAAGAAGTGTATCAAAAATGCCAATATTTCAGTATGCAGATGATACAGCAATCATTTGCAAAGAGCAAAAAGGTGTCGACATTAATCACACAATCACCAGAGAGCTCCATTCTCTTGAGGACTGGTTTACTGTCAACTGTACTCCATGAATGTATCCAAAACACAGCTGACACAATTCTCTGCCTCCAATATAAAAGATGAGATCACCCTAAATTCTAACTCAAATTTGATAGTTTCTCAAGATTCAGTTGATTATTTAGGAATAAAAATAGACTCAAATTTAAATTGGCAAACTCACATTAAAAATTTATTAAAAAGACTTAATTCAGCTGTATTTGTATTACAAGTAATTCAAGATACAACAAATTTTGACACACAAATTGCAGTATATCATGCTTATTTTTCTTCAATTATGAATTACGGAGTTATTTTATGGGGATCGTATAGTGAAAGTAAAAAAGTGTTTATTCTTCAAAAAAGGGCGATTAGACATATAGCCAAGGTTCCTCCAGATACACATTGCCAAGAATATTTCAGTCAATTCAAATTTCTCACTTTATACAGCTCTTATATTTGTTATATTTCTATGATGGTCAAGAGTAACTTGGATACACTTATGGAGAGTCAGCCCTCTCACAACCATGATACAATATACAAAAAACTAATAAAACCAATGCAACATAGACTAAAATTATTTCATTTATCCCCACAATATATGGGACCCAAAATGTATAATAAGCTGCCTTCAACAATAAAAGAAATTGATTGCATATTGAAAAAACACTTAAGATATGGCTTCTGGAGAAGGCATTTTTTCACTGGAAGATTTCCTAACAAATGTATAATTATTTTTAAGTATTCAATATTACTATGTGAAACCCGTCGAAATCGACGGTTACTTTCAGGCTTACGCTAATTCATCTAACTGCGATAAATTGAGTGAAATTATACATAATTTGATCATTTAGCATTGTTTAAAGAGTAATAAGTGTAAAAACGATAATGATATTAATTTCGTTAGTTACCAAATATTGTTGATCATTCAATGAATAAAATATTTCCCATACCGTACCAATAAAATCTCTCTACGGAATGTTAGGTGTAGTGGAATATACTTGAAGTGAAGTTGGCTTTTATTCTTGAACTGTTAGGGGCCTCCTCGTTTATATGGTCATGCGGCTTCATTGGCAATAAATAATCCAAATGACATGGCAATGTGGCATTTCCGAAAAGCAAAAAATACTGTAAATTGGCTGTTATGTAAATATTGACGTTTACATGCGTTGTTAATCAACGTATCTTATAAAGGATGATGTGATCTAGTTTAGAAGGAATATGACCTTCCTGTCATGACAGTAGCTGGCTTAAATAGTATTTACTCTATGTGTTATTGTTTACAGCCAAAATGTTGTGTTAATTTCAATAATGTTACCAACCCAGTGGGCCACGGTCTATAACATAGGCCACACTGCAAATAATTTGTCAAGATAGGTACCATTTTAGGCAAGATTTCTGTGTTTGGATGGTATTAGACACGATCAGTGTACAATGAACTTCTTCTGCAGATGAATAATCTGTTGGAAAAATATAGGCTGAATTTTAAATGTCACAATGCGAGTTTGAGCATTTTGTAACTATATGGGTAGGTTACATAGTATCTTTTAGGCTGCTGCTCAGTGCACCTTAAGAATATATTTTTTAGAGATAATTTAAATGATTTTTGTTGCTGAGTAGCAACCGTGAGTAGCAAATGGCTGAGTAGCCTTTCGAATGATTGAAAACATCTATGTCAATAATCTCATGATGATCTGTCTAGAATAATATGATAAAATAAAGACAAAAGTGGTGAAAAAGGCAGACAGCAACCCGTACAGTAGATATAAGATAGTTCAATAAGGAATAATTTTAAGAGTTAAGAGTGAATTATAACAGGATTTTCCACTGATTTCGAATTGGAACGTTATATTGCAAAACATTGACATGATTCAGAAGAAAATCAATTATTTTAAAATCAGAAAATAGCATTGCAAATACTTCTTTTGGACAATTCAGTAACCCCCAATAAATGTGTGTTGTTAAAATGCAATTTAAAAATTAACAGCTGTTTCATTAAAAAGTATTATCCACATGGCCAAAATGTAAACAAATCTGTGGAGGGATCTTTAAAATAAGCATCTAGACTGCCAGTGCAACTCCTAGGATCGTGGATCAGATCGAAAAACCCCCCACCAGTCAACCATTACTGCAACGATACGGAGCTGAGTCATGAGCCTTGGTGGTGTAGTGGATAGCGTGTCGGGCTGATAATCTGAAGGTGCCTGGTTCGAATCCCGCTGGTAGCACTAACTTTTTGTCTACAAATTTTTTCATATCAGCAAGTTTGGTTGGTTTGGTTAGGTTATGACAGTTTAATTTTATAATTAAAAAATTATAAAATTGAATTTGAGACATTTATAATTTTATTTTTAGAACAGAGCTATTTTTTCGATTAGTAAACCTTCATTTGAGTTTATCATTATCAGCAAGTTTGGTTAGTTTGGTTAGGTTATGACAGTTTAATTATACTTAATTTAAATTTAACCTACAAATTATACGTTTTGACAGCGACAGTGATACAGATAACAATTTTCCGCGAACAGTTAGATAAGCTATGCTGATGCGCCGGTATGATTCGGAAGCGTACGACATGGTGCGGTGGTGCCACAGCGCCTCTGATCTGATCCACGATCCTCGGAGTTGCACTGGCAGTTTAGACGCTAGTATCTTTAAAGGCTTCTGGGGCAGAGCCCTAAGGGAATTTACTTCGTTTTTCTTTTGATAACTCATCTACAAACCAAGACCTTTCTTTGGACACCTCTACCAAGTCTCTACGCCCAGCCATTCTCTCAAATTAGTGGAGACAAAGTTTCCAATTATATATTTAGATTCCCCCATGTTAATCTTATGGGAGAAAACCCAACTTTGATGGAAGCTCTTGCCCAAACTAATAAAGATATCAAAAAACTAAAAACACTTTGCAAAACTACAGATCAGGGCAATTTTTTTTGACACTTTAATCATCAAAATCGGTCCAAAAATGAGGGAGGAGTTCTGTTCACAAAAATCTGCTTAGCGTATTATATATAGATAGATAGATGATTGTTGTTTTGTTACAATAGATTTTAGTTTGATGACAAATCACCTGTCAATCATGTGATGATAATAATAAATAAATAAATAAAATAATAAAAATTGTATCTAAAAGACTATGTCAGCTAAGAGGGGAAGAATGTCATATCATTCCTTTCTATCTGTACATTGTAACATCTGTTCAAATGTATAGAAGTTGTTTTTGTTTACTATGATGTTAGTTTTGTTTCATATTGTTAGTGTAATATTAAAAATATGTATTTTTAGACGTTAATTTCGTTTATTCATTCAATCTACAACACCTACAAAAGTTACAAAATACACTCAGTATAGGCCTAATGTATTTGTATACAGCCTTAATGTATTTTATACAACCTCAATGTATTTTATACAACCTCAATGTATTTTATATAACCTCAATGAATTCTAAAAGGTATGAATAAATAATAAATAAATACAATTAATAATCATATATTAAGAAAGTGGCATTCGAGCAATACGAACACAGATATTATTACACAGTAACTTAATGTATTGGATAAATAAGTACAGTATTCTTAGCCACCACTTTACAGTCCACTCCCATCCTTAAATATCTACTAATGTAATTTTTTTTTATTTATAAAAATTGGTGTTATACATAATCCTATTTAATACCTAATAAGAAATTTGCAACATAGTGCTTATGCAACACTAAATGTGCGGCAATACCAGCGCTCACACAGGCAAAGATATACGGTGCCGGGAGCCTGAGGTCACAGCGGCGGCGTGGTAGGGAGCCACTTGGCATCACTTTCTGAGCTTGCTTGGCCTAGCCCTTGTATATCTGTAGCCCTGCGTGATTGCGGCAAAATCCAAAACCTGTCGCGCAATTGTGTAGACTCTTCATCATCTCCTGCAGTCACAGTAACACCAACATCGTTTACCACGGTCGCAGAAACGTCGTCATAATTTTTTTCAAAATAATGATAAATATATCGGTCTAGTAGACTAGTATACACCATCATCGTCTCCCGCTGACACGGTAACATCGTCATCATTTTTCATGATCACGGCAAAATAAAATACGGTTGTGTTGACACCATCATCATTTCCCCCGGCCACAGAAAATCATAACTGTACTCCGCAATCGCGGCGAAAGCGTAAATTTTCCAAAAAATTGTTGCAGACTCGTACCGCGATTGCAATAGTAATTAAAAGCTCTGCATGACTTGGCCTATTATTTTTAAAAGACTCTAAATTTGTGTAAAAATTCAATTATCCAAATTTGTTACCATCCAAATGGGGTTCGGTCCCAATTTATTCGGATAATTGGAGTTCTACCGTATTAAAATTGAGTACAGCTCCTTACCAAGCAAATGTGCTAAAAGACGAGTTACTAATATAATGCTGTGTCTATCTGGGAGATGAGTCGTATCTGTCAACTTGCTGTTGGCAAGTTGAGACAGTTCCACATGTTGAGCCAAACTTTAAATAGTTCAAGCGGTGATTTTTCTATCTATTTATTACTGTTTTACTACTTTTTATCATTGTTTAGCAAAAGAAAGAATAAAAATACAGAAAAGGCTTCCAAATAATGCTCAAAGGTTTGTTTATAGCCTAATTTAAAGAAATTTGACTACATCAGTGAATTTAGATCAAAAACACATACACACTGTCCATAAAGAAAGTCTCTCTCCAAACTTCAACTATAGTTCATAGGACGCCGCTGACCAGCTTTATTAAATCTGAATACCAAATTGGTACAAAGATCTTAGGTTTGTGAGCATAGTTAACTCGACAGGAAGGCCGGCTGCAGTTACTGCGGGTCAAGACTGAGATAGGGAAAAAGGCCTTTTCTTACTTTAGACCCCTGGTTTACAATGCTTTGCCATTAAGGGTGCAACAAAAAGGTTAGAAGGCATTCAAGAAGAAGAATATTAAAGATATTTTTATGTACGGCAGTTGTATTTTTCTAAGAAAGTTGTATTTTACTTTACTCTTGTATTTGACAAAAGTTTTTATCTAAAATAGAGCTTTGTATCTGACGTACACTGGCTTAATAAAGACATTATTTAGGACTATTTATAACTTAAACCTGTTAAAAAATAATTAGGCCTATTAAAGTATTGGGTTTTAATATTATATCTGTAGACTTACATTATTGACAATGGATTTGTGGCGATCAAGACATTGAACTGGTTGCATGTTGACTGTGTCCAGTACAACCACAGTGTAGTTAGAACCATATGCTACCAGGCCATTATAGCTCCTGAAAAAAACATATGGTTAGCAAACTTGAATATTTCCCTGAGATGAGACCTACTGTTTAATTGTATAACTTAAATGTGTAAGTGTTCCCATCGGGCTCCTGGTCCCTGCCCAGCACGGCTTTTGGAGGGGCGCCCAACATGGGTGACACCCTGAAGGAGATGCTAAGAGTACACTTCCCGGAGAGCCATCCCATAGGGGAAGGAGCCAACTGGCCCCGCCCAGGGAGGTCTCCTAGGGAAGTGGCACTAGCCAGACAGGGGTCGGAAAAGATATTCAAACCAAAGGTTGTGAAATGGGCAGTAAACTCATTCTGCCCTTTCAAACCACCTAGGTGATGGGAAATTCCCTGCTCTCTTGCAAGAAGGCATTCAGGTCCTAGTGGATCTCCTTGTTGCATTGTATAGGGGCATTTATGCACTGGGATATATCCCAACTAGATGGAGAAGAGCTAAAGTGGTGTTCCTACGGAAGGGAGGAAAAGAACCAACTCGGACTAAATCCTGCAGGCCAATATGTCTAACCTCATTCATGGTAAAGGCTATGGAGAAGATCATTAACAGACATGTGAGGGATGAGGTTCTCATCAACTCAAGCCTGAATGTGAACCAACATGCCTTTACGATGGGCAAATCGACTACAACAGCACTTCATAGCCTAGTAGTGAAAATTGAAGACACATTAGATCACAAGGAAACCCTTACAGGAGTCTTCATGGACATCCAAGGAGCCTTTGATAATGTGTCCTATCAGTCAATTATTTCTGGCTAAAGATCAATATAAATTACATCACGCTAACAAAATCCTTTTTGATTTATTAGTCATTGCCTAAATGATGATTTTTGTCATTTCAAAAGTCAGCTGATGTTTAAATATTATTTCCCAAATTGTATGACATTATTATCATGTGATTCTCAATACAAAAATAAACTCCAGAACAAAATCTTACTATTGGTACGAACCACAACCGGTTTCATGCAAGATTATTGGCGCTACGATTTGTTGAACATGAGTGATGAATTGACGCGCCTAAATTTTCATTCAAATTGTAAGTTAACGACAATAAAATTGATTTGTTAATGTTATGAGATTTGTGTATACCTACAGTAGAACCTCTTTAATCCGAACTAATTGGGACCGGGGGTAGTTTGGACTATTGAATAGTTCGGATTACAGAACATATTGTTGTTTTTACATAACAATTGCTAGGGAAAAGTGAAAAATGCTTTATAAAGTAAAATACATTGTTTATTTAATACATTAGGAAACAGGGTATAAACAGTACTTTACATTACAATATAAACAATTACGGTATGTATACCAGTAAATACAGTATCCAATAAAGAACTACTGTACTGTATATAGAGTACAGCAATGAGACGTTCGGATTAGTGGACGTTCGGATTACGAGGGTTCGGATTAAAGAGGTTCCACTGTATATGAAAATGAAAGTTTAGAGTCTCATCTTTCAAATGGTATAAAAATTAATTTGGTTTTGGAATCATGTTAAATGAGTTATAACATTGACTATATAACACTACTAGATTGAAAGCCCCATGCATTTGGTTGTGAACAAGCAATCAGCACACTCTGGCGGGAAGGGGCGATCATAGCGCTGACGTCACTGAACAGTAGGTGCTGCCACGGTATGGGCAATGAAAACATAGTGCTGTCTGCTGTTATAACGCAATGTACAGACAGCTGACAGCTAAGCCATGCTCCCCGCGCCCACGTGACTTGCCGGAACTGCATTTCCGCTCCCCGCTCGCCTCGAATTCGTGTTGTTAGAAGCGAAGCACGACTGATCATAAATTTAACTGCTTCGCTAAAGAATCTGAGATATTAGGCAGGGACTCTTATCCAAATATTTATCGTGATAGGCCTATTTTAGTGGTTAGTGAATTTGATTGGTAAAAAAGAGGTCCTGTAGATATGTATCAATTTCCTATCTAATAAAATTTAAAACGCCGGTGAGAATAACTTAAATACAAATTTGCGTAATCAAACCCGTCATGTTATAAATGTTTTGTTGTAAGAATTTCTAATCAAATATTTAATTGGAATTAAGAAAGTGTGATATTTTATCAATAAATAAATAAATTGATTTATCCACACATCAAAATTAAATTTTAAGCTATTAAGTATGGTAGAATACATACACCTAACACTTTGAAACTAGTGAACGAGCTTGAAATAACGATTACACAAAACGGCCAAAGCAAATAAAAACTGCAAATGTGCTCAGAAAAAAAGAGAAAGTGAAAAGTAAATTTAATGATACATTTTTCCTTCGTCACGTCGCGTCAGTTCTTATCTTACTTCTGTGCCAATGAATAATCCTCTAGCATACAAAAAACTAAAAGTCATATTTAGCTTAAATAGAACATTGAGGGTGGCAGAGTGTTCGTTCAGTTCGGGTAAGGGCAGTGCCTTCAACACAATGCCCCACAACCCCTAGGCTAAACTATGATTTACAACATCTGTCTGCTATAGGGAAACAGGCACCAGTTGATGTGTCAGTAATAAAGTGATTATGAGACATTGCTGCTGGAAAACGGGGTTACAGTATATATTTCATAGGCCTATGGTAAGCCTCAGCTTTAATTTATAAGTGTGATATAACTGTTACACGTCCTTTAGTTCCGTTATCAGCCAATTTTATATTTATAATAAACTATTGCCATAGAAGTTCAGCCTGTGATCGATTTCTTTTTTCGTTTCGATGTCCCCAGAGACCAAAACTCCCATCCTTTCTCATTAAAAAATATGTACCGGTATCTATATAACCCAGTAACCTTGTTATAAAAATCAGGGTCTACCTTGCATGAAATGGGGTAGCAGGTTTCTTTTTTTTTTTGTTTTTAATAGTACCGAGATTCTAAATCCAAATTTTCGACCTCGGCGACCTTCCGGAATACCTCCAAAAAGCTTAAAAATTGGCACTATTTTTACGTTTGTCCGATTTTGACCCTGAAGCGTCACTTTTTCTTAAATAACAACCATAACCATTTTTAAAGTACATTAAATTACCTATAATTTAAGACCAAAATGGGTATTACAGGCCTAATAGTGTTCAAGATATGACTCCGCAAACAACGGCTAAAATTATCAAATTTTGAATTTTTTTTACGTTTGGGTAACGTTAACCCGAAAGCATAACTTTATCATTATCTTTCATTAAAACAACCATAATTACTTTAAAACTACATTAAATTACTCATAATTTAAGACCAAAATGGTGATTATAGGCCTAACACATTAGAGATATATGCCTCTTCCAAGGTTCATAAAATCTTCCATAAATGTTTGTACTTTAAGATTCATGTTATTCAATTTGGTAAAATTTTATGAAAGAACCATAATAAGAATGTAAAAAAATGTATTTCATTTCAACAACATATTATAAGTTTTTCCTACAGTTACCTAACAATGTACATGTTCTCTCACTGATTTGAGAAAGCAAAGTGGCCAATTCGCTCATCAGTGAGACAATGTTAACATTGTCTCACTCTAATTACTTTGTCTCACTCCAGATTTGCAACGTGAAGGCACGATATGAGCGCGTAACATGCAGACAAGGTCGTATGCGCGCGAAATACGTTGGCAGCACTGGCTGTAAATCAGGTGGTCAGCTGTTTTACTGTTGTTGATCGTGTTGATCATTAAATGTCATATTAAAAGTTCACTTCTATGTATAAATATGTCACGTTTCTTTACTAATTTATTTGATTTATTATAACTGTAGGAAAAATATAATGTGCAATTCGAGTGCAAAGTGCAATTGACTCACTTGAGAGAAATCCTTACTCACGAGCCATAGGCGAGTGAGGAATGGTTTCACGAGTGCACAAATAACTATTCTTTTTCTTTTTTTATGGAAGAAATCTATTGTAACTAAAATTTTTATACTATCAAGAGGAATTTATATAAAGAATGAAGAGGCAACAGCGAAAACAGGTTGTAACTTTGCTATCGTTCTGCCATGCTACATATTACTTCTTTTATGCCAAGTTTTCGAATCTGTATCTGCAGGATATGTTGAAATTAGGAAACAAGATGGATTTCAATAAACACCAGATATTTACCACCAACGGATTCTTCACCATTCATTGAGCGTTCCGAAAAGTTCTAGACGGGTGTTTGGACGGACATGACTATAGAGCAGGTGCTCATTTGTCTAATGAAAAGCTATGTAGGTTTGACTCGGGACCGTGGTATTGCTGACACCGTGCTCACTCGATGGACAGTAGGAATGATATAATTTATCTGTAGAATTTAAGTGCTGAGGTTGAGGAGTAGGCCTGCTGCAATGTTAAGGCACATACAACTGAGTAGTATGTAGAAATGAGACCCTCACGAGTCACTCGAGTTGAAGCGAATACAGAGAAGCTGTGTGACTGGTTACTTCGTCACCCTCCCTAATACTGATGTTATAATGTTCTTAAGCAGTAGAATTGTTGGAAGGAAACTGTCAACTGTCATATGGCTAGATATATTGGCAGTGAAGCGATGTTGAGAGTATTATGAGAAAAATATGAATAAGTCAGATACAAAAGGAAGAATAAAGTAGTATCTCTTTCTTCTGGTGTCAATACTGTGACTGTAGGCAATATAAAGGTGACTATTGACCCCTTCACACTGTTTCACAGGCTATGCGTTCTAAGCAGTCGGATGAAGAATCAAAGCTCTTCTTTACACATGAATTTTCACCATTACCCTTGTCTCAATTGAATGAAAAACTAAATTATAGTTCACACATCCAAACGTCTCAAGTTAGTCATACAAGTCAATCTTCAACTGATACCCCTACAGGACAAGTCCATGTCCAAAGGTACAAGGATCATCTAATCACAGACGCAGTCGCCCTCAGTGTTCTCCAGGGCTTATCCCAACTCGGCGCGGTGGTCAGAAATATGTCAAAACCGACTGTCCAACTCCGCGCAGTGGTCACTTTGGGTCCCTCGTGGCACATGTCCAACTCCGCGCGGTGATCAATTTTGA